AATTTTAATACGATTAAGACAATACTCTAATTAAGAATCTACCATGTAAACACATTTTTGATTACCTTAATCCGGCTAAAGTCATAATCGAAGTAAACACTAATCAAATTAAGACATGTGGAGTATTCCTATTTTAGTCACATTATTGAAGTGCAGTAAAGACATGTACTCACCTTAATACATTATTACTGCCCTGTAGGACTTTTCGCCGCATTTTGCGACAAGACACACACACGGCAGTTTTCTAAACCGTTTGACGGCAAACAAAAGAGCATGGCTTTAACAACCCCATCGTCTGTTTGCACGTATAGCAAGACAAATAATTAACTGCACTTGAAGCTTTCAGTAAATTAAAAATGAAACACCCAAAACTGTATATGGCATCATAACGAAGACGAACTATATGATTGTACGTAATATTCTGGAGGGGACGTCGGATGGCGTCACGTGGGACGTAATGACGTGCCATTAATCGATCTATGTACTATAACATGTAAAACGGGAACATGAAAGGAATATTCTAAAAGCAACTCATGTAAACACCTTAATCACAATATTGTCTTATTCAGAATAAGGTAAATAATTAGATTACTGATGTCCATGTAAACTTAAGTCAATGAGACGACCCCCAAAACAGGAATGGTTTTACAAGTGGAGGCCACTGACATTTTTCCCCACTCATCTTTTCTGACTGTTTTCCACTAGTTTTGCATTTGGCTAGGGTCAGTGTCACTACTGGTAGCATGAGGCGATAGCTGGACCCTACAGAGGTTGCACAGGCAGTCCAACTCCTCCAGGATGGCATTGCCAGAAGGTTTGCTGTGTCTCTCAGCACAGTCTGAAGAGCATGGAGGAGATTCCAGGAGACAGGCAGTTACTCTAGGAGAGCTGGACAGGGCCGTATAAGGTCCTTAACCCATCAGCAGGACTGCTATCTGCTCCTTTGTGCAAGGAGAACAGGATGAGCACTGCCAGAGCCCTACGAAATGACATCCAGCAGGCCACTGGTGTGAACGTCTCTGACCAAACAATCAGAAACAGACTTCACGAGGGTGGCCTGACTCTAGTCCTCTAGTGGGCCATGTGCTCACTGCCCGGCACTGTGGAGCTCGATTGCCATTTGCCATTGAACACCAGAACTGGCAGGTCCGCCGCTGGCGCCCTGTGCTTTTCACAGATGAGAGCAGCTTCACCCTGAGCACATGTGACAGATGTGAAAGGGTCTGGAGAAGCCGTGGAGAACGTTATGCTGCTATGACCGGTTTTGGTGGTGGGTCAGTGATGGTCTGGGGAGGCATATCCATGGAGGGACGCACAGACCTCTACAGGCTAGACAATGGCACCCTGACTGCCATTAGGTAATGGGATGAAATCCTTGGACCCATTGTCAGACCCTACACTGGTGCAGTGGGTCCTGGGTTCAATGCCCAGCCTCATGTGGCAAGAGTATGCAGGCAGTTCCTGGAGGATGAAGGAATTGATACCATTGAATGGCCCCCACGCTCGCCTGACCTAAATCCATTAGAACACATCTGATACATTATGTTTGGGTCCATCAGCTGCCACCAGGTTGCACCTCAGACTATCCAGGAGCTCAGTGATGCCCTGGTACAGATCTGGGAGGAAATACCCCAGGACACCATCCGTCGTCTCATTAGGAGCATGCCCCGATGTTGTCAGGCATGCATACAAGCATGTGGGGGCCTTACAAACTACTGAGTACCATTTTGAGTTGCTGCAATGATATTTCAGCAAAATGGACTAGCCTGCTGCATCATTTTTTCACTTTGATTTTCAGGGTGTCTTTGAATTCAGCCCCTTTGTAGGTTGATCATTTTTATTTCCATCAAATGATGTGGCATCCTTTCGTTCCTAACACATTACCCAGTCCATATCAGTATAGATATCCAGCATGATATTTTTCCCCATTGAGATCTGATGCGTTTTTAAAGTGTTACTTAAATTTTTTTTGAGCAGTGTATTAGCTTAAAGTATTACATTTTCATAAAGCAGCCAGGAGACATGAAATATTCAGATCATTAGAAGATACTTACCCCAAAGCACCTGACACACTTGACCCCACAGCTGGCATTCATTTCATAAACACGTCAGTCAAATCATTTCCATGACTTTTATCACTGATGATACATTTTATATGTTGTTGCTGAATACATTTGCTCATGCTTATGTTACCTGATGAGCCCCTTTTTTACTAAAGGTCAAATGGCACAAATAATGGCATCTGCTAGATTGAGTTAATGATCTCACACCTCTTAAGACTAGTGCTCAAAAACAGTGGGCAAACAGCACATGAAGACTTTAATCCTTGAAAACTGATCCTGCACTCAAAACTAGCTGTCGTTTGAAGAGGGGTGGGAATGTTTGGACGTTCAGCAGCGGTGCTAAAACTTCTCCTCCACCGCATTTACCATGATGAAGCTTCACACAGTCAAACTCAACATGATGTACGGTATCGCTGATGACACACTGTAAATGCAGCACTCCTCTCTAGTCTCTCTGACTCTGTATCTTCATCCCTCAGCCTGATTTTCACATGTTGAAATGAAACTGAATCTGAGCCCTCCTCAGCTGGTATCGAGTACAGTTAGCCGGGTTCTAGATTTGAATACATATCCTGCAGATATCCTGTCCTGTGAGCAGCGGCAGAGCTGTGACATTTCTAATCCCAAAACAACACAGTTGCCCACTGTTGACACATCCGGAGGGAAGCGTATCGGCAGCGCTGAGAAGCGCCTTTAATCTCTCAGAGGAGTTCATTGTTTGCTGGGGTGGAGGTCACGCTGGAGACGTGACAGCGCTCATATGGGCACTAAAGCACTTCCTCTCAGCACTGCATCTGTCCAAATTTGCACTTACATTTATGCTAATACCTTTTGAACCAAAGGGCTAAAAACATTTTTTGAAACATTTTTAAAACCTTTTCAAACTCCCCCTCAACTGTTGCTATGATTTTTACAAAAAATTTAATAAGATCTTTTTCAGACCATAGTGAAAAAATGCATGGAATTCAAGTTGATTAATTAAACCGTTTTCAAATAATGCGACAAAAGAACTCATCAAAGAGCAAACCAAAATGAACTTGAGGCTATTTATCCTCAGTGCCTTAGCATATTGAGACCAAATTTGGTGTGTTATGACAATAAAGACTTGTGCACAGTTTCAGCACAGCGCCAACTTGTGGTCAGGAGATATGAAAACCAGCTATTTTTCCTCATAACTTCT